TACTTACCCGAGGTATATGCCAAAGTATAAAAAAATCAAAATGATGGACCAACTAAAATACATTCAAAGCATTGACGTTAGTATAGAAGCCTAACCCGGGGAAAAGACCCACAAACTTATCCCAAATCCACAAAACGATTGATATATTTGTATAGTTTAATTTAAAATACTATCAATTTCAACTTTACATAATGCTATTTTGGCTTTATATGATACTCCGGAGTTCGCGGCAAGTTTTAGTAAAACAAGAAGACTAGTTGATCTAAAGAATACTTCGTTCCAGCAAAGCGTATGTATCAAAGTAAGAGTGAACGTCGTAACATCTACTCATTCACCCGGCTATAACTCTTTGTCGCTAGAGGGTGCGATTCACTGAAAGACGATTATTTGAATGGATAGGTCAAGGTGTTGAACAATAGTTAATTTCAAATAATGAAATAGTGAGAGTTTGATGCAATTACGATTCCCTCAATAACACATGAGCACTATAATTTGTCATTAGAATAGTTTATACTCACGTAATATATCACATAACAAATTAAATTAGAGCTAATCACAATATTTCATTATTTTTTAGCACAATGTGCACCAACCTGAATTGGTATCCATTAGACACGAGAACTGGATACTATCGTCTGGCACCGACATGACATGATGTGACATGTATAGTATCATTACAAGGCTTTCTATATGGAGATATGAGCGTTCAAATTGTACCATTGTTAACACGTCTGCAAACTTGAAGTGACCTTTAGGAATGGTAGCAACTGCTCTGTAGACAACTGTCGGTTGTATGCACTTGAGTTAATAATTGCTCTGAAATTCTTATTATAGCAGCTGCACTTGAGATGTTGGAACACAACACCGAAACAAACGTACGGCTGTCTGGCTCTCGAACTGATCTGCCTGTTTTCTGATAACTTCATTATAGAGGGACAATGAGTTGAATAATTAAGTTACATATCATGCTGGGTACACTCTGACCCCGAGGTCAAATGAAATTAAAGTGCAAATTTAAATGATTGATACCGGGCATTATTTCTCCTGTAAGCTGACACAACAACAACAAAAAACACAAAGAGAACATACAACGTGAAACTGAAGAATTAGGAACAATACTGTTTTGAATTAAAAAATATAACTGTACAACATCTGGAAAACACCACTCATTAAACATGAGTTGACATGGGTTATCAGATTAGAATTCGATGTAAATATAGGCTCTAAATATTTGTATGTTTTTAAATTACCATATTTTATTAGTTCCGTTAGTCCCGGACTTATGAATTGACCTTTGTTTGTGCGCCCGTGCGTCCGACCCTGCCAGGACAAATTACATTCAAATTTCACACATACACTATACAAAGTATTATAAATATACACATCAATTTGTTTCACGATTTGATTCAAGATGGCTGAACGGCGGCCATTTTTGTGCCAAAAAATCATCAAAAAATCAAGCATTTCAGGCATTCCAGAACCGGATCAGGGTCGACGTCTGTTATGGATGGATTTCGTTCAAACTTTGTACACACATTTGACAATATGGGCCACTGATGTACTTTTTCTTTTTTTTTCTTGAGGGAGGTCATGTTCAGCTAGCAGCTGTGGTGTGAGGTCGTATCTGTGAGGAGCATTTATTTTTTGCCATTATACAAATTATTTCAGCCTGTTTTTTTTTAGAAGAAGCTGTTCTTTAAACCATTGACGTTGCGTCTGAACCATAAAGTAGGAAAATGTATAAGCAGCTACAAAAATTGCCGGGTCGTGAAGCTCGGCTGAATGTACAGTCCAAGTACGACAAGGAGGCAGCTAAACAGGGGAAAACTCAGACTCAAGAGGCACAACTTTCAGGGAATGTTACGAAAGAGTTAATAAAGGACTAGAAACTAGAAACCAATGCAATAGAAACAAATCAGAAGGTAGTGGATTTGGAACAAGGAATAAGCGTTTTAGAATTATCCTTGGGTGCTGCAAAGAAAAACAAACTTGATTCGGTGGAGATTGCAGGTTTCAATACTGAACGCTATCTGCGAGTATACAATCTTCCCTTTGGTGGAATTACAGGAAAAAATGGAGAGGATTGTGAGAAAACAAAGCCTGCAATGAAGGGAAACGGGTTAGATTCATTAATGATAGTTATAAATGATAAATTGTATACAGAATAACAAATATTGTTAGCTGTAGTGAGTTTTATAGTCTTTTTGTGGATCAAACTTTTCTTATTCTCATTGTCATGAAAGATGAGTGAAAGAAAAACAAATATTTATTTATTAATTAATTTATTTATTTATTTATTTATTTATTTATTTATTTATTTATTTATTTGTTTGTTTGTTTGTTTGTTTGTTTGCTTGTTTATTTGTTTGTTTGTTTGTTTATTTATTTATTTATTTATTTATTTATTTATTTATTTATTTATTTATTTATTTATTTATTTATTTATCAGAAAACCCTGACTGCACCACTCAAAAGACTTGCATGTATGTTGCGTTGTTGGACGTAATCGTAGTCGTAATCTTTCCATTATTGGTAAAATCCAGATTATAAAAACTCTAGTAAATCCAAAGATATCATATAATTTAAACTTGATCAAAGTTCATGACAAAGATATTCAAATTATAAATCCTAAAATATACTCCTTTATTTGGAATGGGCATGACGCAACACTATGATAGGTGACATAGGCCAAGGGGGGGGGGTATGTTGGATATTTGTGCAATGCAAAAAGCCTTTAAAGTAATGGGGAACAAGCATTATCTCTCTGATACTTGGAAGCTTGTTTTTGACCATTATCTGAAAACAGAGGAGGTCACCTTATCTTCAAATGCAATTTTTTGGTGGAGTCACTTAATATTACTATGCACTAATTTTAGACAGATTTATTAAATGTATGGAGTGGTTTGAGTCAGAATGACCATATATCACAAGTGGGATACAATAAAAAGAAAGGGCACAACAAGAATTCTTTGGAAGAAATGGAATAATTTTCTAGTGTAACAGTACAGGCACTGACATTTTCAATTGATTAATTAGATTGTAACTTATTGAATTGTTGTGTACTACTACATGTATATTATTTGTTAATTTCAACATTATTTATTATTATTATTATTATGAATTTCTATACTCTTTGTGGGAGATGCAAGAAAAAAAATGAATGAAAAAAATGCTATTTTAAAGTGATGTGAGATCTCAAACGTGTAAATTTCATTTTTACCTATGCTTTTAAGTTTGATATAAATATTACTTATGAAGCAAACAATATAATTTTAAAATATAAATGAAAATATAAATGTTTTAATTATGAATGCATAAAGTTAAAAAATGACACTGACAAATGAAAAACATGACACTTTTCAAGAATCATAGCAAATTTCTATTCACGTATAGTTTGAGCAGTAGTACACAGTCATTTGCGTATCGATTGCAAATGACAACAATAAATAGTAAGAAGATTTCTATTTTATCCAAACAAGGCCCCAGTAACTCTTTAAATAAAAAAAACAGTAAAATCAGCTCCCAATTTTGACCTTATTGAGATTTTAGTTTAGCGTCTATTAGTTTAATAAGTGTTATATATGATAGGTTAAAGGTCAAACAGAATAATTTATCACTCTGTAAATGCGTTGTAAATGCATTCCAAACATGATTTCTCCGATATATTTATAAATGAGACACTGCATTAAATAAACCAAACCGGGTTTTGCGGTCATGATTTCACCATTCCGCAAAAACAACAAATGCAGTGCAGTCTTTATAATCATACATGACATTCTTACTTTTACCTTCCCGACCGATTGTAACCTAGTTAATTAAGGCCAGTCATTTGACACAAATATGGATATCAAAATTTAAGTGGTGTTAATTGTATCATACGTACTTTACAAGGGTCACATAAGTTTGATGGATTTGTCGAGACACAGAGTACATTGTGGACATGTAACGACACTGCCCTTAAATAACAACATTTATACGCCTACCTCAGCTGTGTTGAAACTATATGTTAGTAACGACACAAGCTATGTAAATCAGGTGATTGCGCGGCGCGATAAAAGACGCATTATGCAAAACAATAAATCTAAATATCTATGCAACATTTGATTTAATAATTCGAAAAAAAGTTATAAATATCATTCGAAAGTACAAACAATACTAATGTTGATAACCACTTATAGTGGAACGTACTATTTTACGCAGAAAGCCGCCTGAAGTCATGGGATAGTAAAGATTTACTTGGCGTATCTTTGAATTGGATAGCAAACGCCATTTTGCCTTGTAAACTCATTGAGCGGGAATACAAACAGTGCTTCACACCATAGTGGATCGATAACACTTGCCCACTCAACAGATTGAATGTAAAACAACCCGCATGCTTCTTTGTACCTCGTCTAGTTTTACCCATATTATGTACACATACACTCAGTATTGATATGCAAATTCAATGTAACATTTGATTGGAGGGTTTATATTTGTATTGAAGGTCACTACAGTATTTCCACCTCACACCGACCATCCCCATGCGGTTATTGTGGCTGACCGACATCCTGCATCCATAACAGCAAGTGGTAAAGTTGCATCGAATTGAAGCCCCATCGTATAGTGCATATTTTATTACCTGACTCTTATGAAGCTGTTGATCGCAAAGTAAAAGTACGCCCCCTTAATCAAACATATAAAAATCGGTTTATAACCAGTGGAGTTTATGGATTGTTAAAAATATTTAGTGTTTTTATGAAGGTGTAAATATTTATAATCTATTCATCAAATTTCAAAAGATGCAGCAAATCACAACGCCTTCAGCGAAGTTAATGTTTAAATATGATTTGTTTATATGTAACTTACATGCATGGAGTGGTGACGTCTAAGTGGCAGTCAGTTGACATGAACACGTAATAAATACCAATAAATGTCGATAAAAAATTACGTTCTTTTCCCATCGTGTAAATCATTGCGAGCAACCTCCCAAGTCTTACAGAGTACACACGTATTACTTCATCATGGATACAGCCCACTGCGAGGGTAAGTTTTCGATTCTGTTTTACTTTTCTCCTCATATATCCCACATATCAAGTTGAGGGGATAAGGTATAAGCATGGTAGCACGAACACATGCACTAAGTAATTCCCATTGCTTTATTAAATGAGCAATGGAACTACAAATCTAGTACTTTGGTTTATGACAACAAGCGACCTAATTGGTCGAAATGGCTCCGCTGTCATTGTAAACCGTCTTCCTTAAAAAAACAAAGTCGATATTGCTCTGTACGATGCGATATTAACTACTTGCGATGATTATTTGTGTTCCCAAAATGTCTTTCCAAATCACAACCACGGTACTTGTTGTTGCCATGTCAATTACAATTACCGTGTTTCAAATATCATGGCGGTCAACCCATGAACCCTACATACTAAGTATCAAAGCAATCGGGCTAGTAGTTTTCAAGAAAAAAATCAAAAATAGCATTTTCCACCAAAAATGTCAACAATATTCGCCTAATATAAAGAATTGAACGAAATTACCAAATCTGACAAAGATACACACAAGCTTTCAAATCAATTAATATAGCAGTCTTCAAGAAGTCCAAAAGTCCAAAATAGGATTTCTACAAAAAAGGGAGATAACGTATCTACGTATATAATAAAGAAAATTCTCTATGATTTGTGCCATTGAGCGGATCCGCTCCGCTAGAATTGCCCTTAAAATCACTTTTTTTGTGTGTTTGGCGATCCGCTCCGCTAGGATTGCCCTTAAAATCACTTTTGTGTGTGTGATTTCCAGTGTTTTCACGTATTCATTCTTCTGTGATTTTTTTGGCTTGGCCGATTTCGCTCAAACTTGGCAAGTAGGTCACACCTTCACCCTAATCTGAGAAAAAATGTTGGTCCACTGTTGCCATAGCAACAGCCAAAAAACGAATACCTTCGCGCCAAATGTCTCTCAACCCTACAATTCTAGTATTGAAACGCACGGACATAGCTCATGCCACTCAGATTGAGTGTGGGGAAAAAGTTAATATTGTTTTTTAGTGTCTATTTTCATAACCGAGAAATTTGACCTCAAAGTTGGGGTAACTTTTCACCAGCATCGGCTTTTCAACTTCGGTGTGATTTGTTTGTCTTGGCTGATTTTGTTACTTTAAACTTGAAAGGCAAATCGTCAATACGGTCGGAAATAATAAATATAACAAGAAAAGTGACTTCTAAAGACTGAATGTTTTTACGAACTTCGTAAACGGGGCCGGTTTTAGTTATAAACGTTAGCTTTTTGTTCATGTCCATGGCAACAGCCAAAACATATCTTGCTTGTTGTTTGAGCAGAGCAGATTGCTAACCAGCCTACCGGCTTGTCTAGAGTAGGTCACATTCTAGAACGAGTCCAATGAATCACACGACAGAGACAACAAACTAACAATATCAACGGGCAGTATACTATACTTTATTTTCAGATAATAGAAGACACCATGATAATTGTGATGTTAGTACAGGAGACGTATCGAAGAAGAGCTTTGGATGGTTTCACAACATTAGATCATATGTAGCTCTACTCTTTACATTGATCGTTGTTGAATCCTCTATGTTTGCTTATATGGCGTCTGTCCTCCCAACGCTTGAACGACGGTATAGGTAAAGACATTAAGTCAATTGTCAACATCTTATTGATCAGAATTATGTGTATGGTGTTTGTTTCACCGCGACAAGATGTGAAAAAAACATGTAAATTGGTGTGGAAATGAGGGAAACAAAAGATGGGATGACGGAATATAATAATATTATTTAACACAATTGTCTCGGCGTCTGATTGCGTCTAGAAGGTCTATTAATATTGATTCAAAACTCATAGTTGTTGTGCAAATAGAAAGTGAAATACATAAATATTTCAATTCTACTCGAACGTTGCTTTTACATACTAGTATTTGACTAGTTTACTTCGATTTCACATATTTATCCTGCTGTTTGTTCGGGGTTATTCACGTTTTACTTTGTCCGCAGCTACTATGATTTTACAATTACTGTCTAGTTATATACTGTTATCACATAATCTGCTTTACTACACTGACCTACCAGATACTTAAAGAAAAATGGCATAATGTATGGCAATTGGATTTTACAATCCATGACTGAGATCTGCAACGAATCTCATATTTATTTACAGTTTCACCTCTCAGCAAATAGGAACTATGGTAACTGCAAGTCAAGTTAGTTCTTTGGTTTGCATTCCATTTGTTACCCATTTCTTGGGCGGGCCAAACCACCACAGACCTCGATGGGTGGCAGTGGGGATATTACTCTCATGCCTTGGTATCATGTTGTGTGTACTACCTCAGTTCTTGTCCGAACCGTACGCATATGACCAAGCCGACAACAACACTGGTGTTGCGAGTGAGTCTGGCTTGTGTTCAACTGCTGCGAGTGAAGGTCACGAGTTAAAAGAAGATGAAATTGAACAGTCACAAGATGCTCATATGGCATTTAATCTTAATTCGTCGGACGTATGATTTCTGGAATTGGAGGGACGTTTTACAGTACCCTGGGTTATTCTTTTGTTGACGACTTTTCAGGCAAGAAATCGCCATTTTATATAGGTAGGTTATCTTTCACCTCGTAATTAAATTGTCTATCAAGGTGCAGTGTCACTTATGTAACTGTATCTATTCCAAACATTATGAAAGAAACTACATGCTCGTATTTAGAACATGTTTTCTTTTATGATAAAAGTATAATTTAGCTTGTTCTTTTTTAATTACTCATCAATACAATAACTGTTATTGATCTATTTAAATTGTTGCTATTTTTTGTATTTACACGATGCGAAAAGAACGTTATTTTATGTTGACATTTACCTATTTGGTGTCAAATTGCTGTCTTCTACAAATCATTTCATTGTCGTCTACGTACGGGGGCTTATTTGAGACAAATGTAAGTAAAGTAATATTTTCTAATCACGCATGCGCATTAAATGGAAAAAAAACATGGCGGGAATATTACCTTTATTTTAGCATATTTATTGCATTCAATGTTTAAATCCATATTTGAAAGTATTCACGCACTAAGTATCTTTAAGTAAAAATAATAATGAATTAATATAATTCAGTAATTCAAATTAATTAACAAGTAAATAAGAAGTACTTCATATTTGACTTCACACAGGCATACTAGAAGCGGCATGGGGCGTAGGCCTACCTCTTGGATTTGGTGTCATCAGCTCTGCTTGCCTCAGCATATACGTAGATTTTTACCGTGTGGATATGAATACAATTGGTCTAACTGATAAAGATCCACGTTGGGTTGGAGCATGGTGGCTAGGTGGAATTGGCGGAGCTGTCGCACTGCTGTTTCTGTCCATTCTGTTATGTCTCTTCCCAAGAGAAATGCCAGGAGGGCGGAAGGAGATCCCCGAGTCGGAAAGCAGATATACCAAGAGCTCTGACGTTGCTTCATATAGCGGAATGAACGTTTTACTCCACGGGAAAGGTAACAATTTTCTAGATGCGCAACTGATGCGTAATACATTGAGAGCAGAAAATCTACCCGTTCCAGAGCGCGGTCATATTAACTTTCCAATTCCAACCAGTACCAAAGAAGATATGAGAAGTCAAATATAAAATATGAAAAATTAACATTCACAATCATCACTATTTAGTTTACTTTATTATGAAACCGCGCCCTCAAACATGGCATATTTGCAGATATAGCGATTAGATGTCGCTCTTCTGTACAAAATATGTAAATTGCTTCATGAACACGCATCGCGTTACAAGGATTATGGGTGCCTGAATTAGCCGGATGTGTTCTATAGTCGAGTTGTTCCACATTGATAGTCATCCCTATGGACAAGATCATTTTATAAAGCCGCAAACAATTCCTTGACACAATGGAGTATACAGTATGTACCACGTTTCAAGCGACACTCATGGCACCCATGGGCAAAGTTTTTCCACAGTTAATGCATGATTCCATTGTTGGAAAAACCATCCCCACATTGATAAAATTCTCTCATTGGTACTAGACGATGTTAGATAATACTGTCGAAAATATTGGACAGTATCCACTGGGGAGTCTCGGGGATTTCATAACTGGGCCCTTGGAAACAACGTCTGTGTATATATATATGTATATATTAGTAAATTGTCCTATTATGATTTCAATAATTTTTACTTTATGTTTTAGAAATAATGGTCACAGCATGGAAAATGTTGAAAAATCCAATTTTTATATTGACTGTGCTTGCCTTTGCTCTCAACCAACCAGTTGGCTTCGTAATATTCTTGCCGAAGTACTTCCAAAAAGATCTGGGTTTCACATTTAGTACTGGGAACCTAATAATAGGTATGTATGGTATTCATTTCAGAGGAAACTTTCAAATATAATTTTTTGTTCTGACTACTAGTTTTGTGATAATAAATCTTGATTTCTTATTTAGAATAAACATGAACCAAGAATTATATACTAAACATCTATTTTGTCCATAATCGTGAATGTATTTTTAAATCATTTTAAACAAATTGTCTACATAATTCATTTTGCCAGATATAATAACTTGTCTAGCCTAGACCTTCGGCTCCGCAAACGCATTATTTCAGTATGCCTCTGAGTGATATATGGCGGCACAGACCCGGCACAGACCCGGTCTGGAAACGCTTCGCAGTCTATTGTCCCAGGGCTGTTTGCGGGTAAATAAACCGTTCACACCTTGGACAATTAGCCATCAAGCTGAGCGTACACTAACTTTAGCACTGTGATCACACACTTTAAATAGAACAGAACATATTACCTTGATTTATCAAAATACGAACATCTGAGAGAAAAACTAACCACATCACCAAAAAGTTTTTTTTTTTTTTATTTTTTTTTTTTTTTTATTATTATACAATTAACAATACATGAAAAGGAAACAGAACTAAAAGTACAACACAATCACAAATACAAAAAATTATCAGAGTAAGGTAAAATACATAAAATTTGACCTATTCGACTGGAAAATCACTCCATTTATTAACATGATGCTCCATAATATTTTTACGAGTTGCAATATATTTTTCAATTTTATAAATATTCAACACTAAATGTTTTAATACTATGA